TTGATGAAGCTGTTGAGTGAGATGGAAATAATTCATCATTTCAGACTTATAAGACTTACTGAGGGCCTGCTGTGGGCTTGGGAATACAGCCGTGCACCAAACAGACACAGCCTCTGCTCCTGCAAAGCCTTCATTCTAGCACAGGAACCAGAAATAAACAATTACAGCATTATGACAAGCGACAAGAGAATTGAAGTGAGACAGGAAAATGAAGAGGGATGAGAGCTGCTGTTTTGTATAGAGCGACCGGGGTGCCCCTGGGCAGTGACATTTGAGAAGAGGCCCAAAGGAAGTGAGGGACAAAGTCTAGCACTGGAAGAGGTCTGAGGGAAGCGCTGTTGGTGAAACAAAAATATCTGGATTCTTGGTTTCAGGATGACAGTCCCACCCTCACAGAAGTCAGTGTCTCTCGTGCTTAGTCTCAGATATAAGACTCTCTCTCTCTCTCCCTTTTTTTTTTTTTTTTTTAGGTTTTTGCTATGGAGTGTGAGGACCCACCCACAGACATTAACAGACCATTTTGGCCCAGTTGGTAACAGGACCCTTCCTAGTCCCATCCCTGGCATAGTATCCCTGTGATGGGTGAATCACACAATCATTTACAGACCACTTTGACTGATAACAGGACTCTTCCAACATCCTGTCCTTGGACGGTATCTTGTGATGTATACAAGCTCCCTTATCTCTGTTCAAGTCCACTCTTTACAGATCCTTCTCAGAAACACAGACTGCCCTTTCCAATCACCAGCCTAAAGACTGTAAAACGCACCTATAAGCTACAAGATGTCCCCCTTTCAGATGTCCCACCCTTTTGGGCCAGACCGATGAAAGAACACTTCTCACTAAATTCCAAACCTTGTCTCTCACTCTCAAAATCAAATAAAAGGTGATCACCCCAGTGGGACCAGTAAATGGCATAATGGTTACATGGGTGGACCATGTAGTCGACCATGGTTCAAATACTGGACCTGGTTGCTTAAAATTCATGCTGGTCGCATGTGTGTGCATGCCCAAAATCCCTAGAGGAGAATGGAGAAGAGATTGTGGTGTGGCCATCCCCCGACGGGTGATTTCTCGCTTTCTGTCTCTCTGTCTTTCTGGCGAGTGCACACACCCTATAGCTAAAACCTCTCTAAAAATAAATAAATTAATTAAATAAAAATAAAAACACCTCCCAAGAGCTAGTGTTACAGTGTAGTGGTTAATGTTAAGTCGGCCTATATGGCCAACTGCAGTTTGTATCTTAGCCCTGGTGGGTTGGAAAACACTGTGTGTGTGTGTGTGTGTGTGTGTGTGTGTGTGTGTCCCAAATCCTGACAGGATTGCAATGTACCCATGCCCTGAGAAGAGGTACTTTCTCCTTTTCTCTCCTTGTGAGCTGGCAAACTCAAACACCCCCTGGCAATTAAAAACCAAAACAAAACCGTTAAAAAAGAAAATTCCTCTCCTCACTCCCTTGTAGCTAGGGTTGGTCCTCTGACCCACGTATGAGCAATGAGATAAAACTGGAACTACAGATGGGGTTTCTTGGAAATCTTTTGTCCTCATATAAAGAGTGGGGTAACTCAGAGGATACGTGCCTCTTTTCTCTCTCCATTTGTTTTTATTCCTGCCTGAAATGTAAGCAAAATTTCTGGAAATGAGGCAGCCATTTTGTGACCATGAGGTTAAAAGCCACCTGCTAAGGATAACAAAGCAGGAAGACAGGAGAAGCTATGGTTCTTAAGGGTTCTTTGAGCCTCTACACCAGGCCGGACTGCCTCCCTCTGGACTTCTTGTTAAGTGAGACAAATCTTTATTTGATCAGATTTCTTTCTTTTTTTTTGGGGGGGGAGAGGTTTTTGCTATAGGGCACGTGCGCTTGCCAGACAGAGAGAGACAGAGAGACAGAAAGCGAGAAATCACCCCCCGGGGGGATGGTCACGCCGCAATCCCTTCTCTTCCATTCTCCTCTCGGGATCTTGGGCACACACGCACACGCGCCCGGCATGAGTTTTAAGCCACCGGGTCCGGGACGCGAACCGCGGTCGACTATGTGGGAGTCCAGTGACATAGCCATTACTCTAACTGCTGGTTCCCTATTTGGTCAGATTTCTGTTACATGCAACTCAATGCAATGCTGACTGATGGTTTCTCCATGAAAGGTCTCTCCTCTGTAGTCCTGACACATGGCCTCCATAAGCATCTGTGGTGACCCAAACTAGACCTGGTGGAGGAGGGACTGGTCATGGCTATTGCTCTGAACTTGCAGAGCCATCGCCTGTTCCGTCCGTGGTCTGAACAAGAGCGCTGCTAATTATCACTCTCCCAGTCCACCCACAGAGAGCAGGAGGTTGCCTCTCTGTGCTCTCAGGGAAGCTCAGATACAGCTCAGGCTCCTCCACGGCCTTTGCTGAGTAACGGAATCTGCACATGCGGCCGCCAGGGCAGTCGGGAAAGCTTCTCCTGGAAGGCTAGGGTCTGAAGAAGGGGCTAGAAACCAGAGGTGTTGGCAAGGCCTGACTCAGGTAAGCAGGATCCCCTTCCTCCAGCTTCCTGTGAAGTGGGTGCCACCCCTTCTAGTTAGCGATGGCCGAACTTGCTTCGGGGCACACTGGACGCAGCAGTGAAGTAACTGCAGAACCCAGTTATTTGGTTGGATGCTACAGAAGTGGACTGTGTCACCGGAGAAGAAAACCGTTTGTCAGAAGGACACGGGATGCCTTACAGGACTGTCGGCAAAGCTGAAAAACCGCCTTGAATGCAAAGGCGCCATAGTTCCAGGGGCTAGCAGAAACCAGCCTTGGAGTGCATAGCGTGGGTCACAGGCCCATTTCTCAGCTACGGGAGGGCAGGATGTCTTGACAAGGAGCCATTCCAGATGGGGTTGAGATGAGTGGTTTTCTGGAAGCAGCTGAGGATTTTAGTACCAAAAAAAACAGTGAGAGGTGGTAAAAACAAAGAAGTGAAAACTGTCCACTGCAGATAAGAAAGAATTGGTCAACGGCATGGTTTGGGGATCGAACTGACCCTAGTCAAATCTTAGCCCTGGTGCAGAATGGTGGGGTGGTGGTAACACAACCAGGCCCACAGGAGGGTTCCAGGTTTGCGTCCCGCTGCTTCCTTGGACGTGGCAAGCATGCATCTGGGCTGGCTGGCCTGGGGGTGGATTATGGTGTGGAGAACTCCATTGGGGGTGCTTCTCTCTCTCTGTTCCTCTCCCTCATAGAATAAATAAATACATTTTTTTTCTTTTCATTTTTAATTCCCAAAGAGTGCATGTACTTGCCAGAGAGCAAGAGAGAGCGAGCAAACACGAGTGTGGTCATGTTGCCATCCTCTTTTCCCCACGTCTTCATCCTGCCAGGATCTTGTATTTTTCAAGCTGCTGGGCTGGGACTTGAACCACAGTCAGCCATGTGCGATCTTGACTTTCTTTGCATACTACTTTACTGCTGCTCAACAGGGCTGGACTTACTTTTTTCTTTTTTCTGTAAAGAAAAGAAAAATCTTAGCTTTGGCCTTCATCTGCTGTCTGAATTCAGTCAAAGCAATTCACATTTTCAAACCTCAGTTTCCTCATCTGTGTGATGTGAATGGGGTTTGTGTAAACCCACTAGGACATAAGCTCTGGGACAGCAGGGGTTTTGGCCTCCCCTCCTCACGTATATCCCCGGCACGATGATATGGCTAGCGTATGGCTCAGCGCATGTCAAACTGAACGAAGAATGAACTTGACCCTTGGCCCAGAACTCCTCTTAAACAGAGAGCTGTTTTGTTGACAACAGAACAGGCCAGGCGGTTGGAACGGCCCCACTACCCAGCTCTGGGGAGGGAGACGAGGAGGAGATCCAGGCAGACGCTGAGGGAGAAGCAGCCTCACACTCACAGACTCCCACTGGACACTCCCCACCAGCTCGCTGCCTCGCTCCCGCATGAGCACAGTCATGCGTCCCCAGACTCCCAAGCAGGCCCATCAGCCGAAATAACAGTCCCCTGTTGAGTGTAGAATGGATCCATTCCTGCAGTCCCCAGGGCTCCCTGGCACAATGTTGTCACAGTAAACCCCTCTCCTAGGTCTGATTTGTAGAGAAGTTTGAAGGTACCACGTCCCTACATTGTACAGTGAACCTCAGCAGAAAGTGGCAGGTAGAATAAATTACAACTCCAGGGATTGTGCACTATTTAAAAAAATACACACAGCAAGACTTCATTGGTGGGGTGAATGTGTTCTAACTCTCTCAGCCATGTTTTCATCCTCTGATCTTAACAAGATGAAATTGCAAGTTGTTTCACTCCTTGAGGGGCCACTGTAGAAACACAAAGCATAGGGCCCCCTAGTGGTGTGGTGGTGAAGGCGGCTGGATCTCGTATGGCCATCTGCATAGAGGTAGGCCTGGATCCACAGCCACTTAGAAAGCGGGTCTGAGGATCTAGACAGACAAAAGCCATGGGTGTAGTGAGATTGTGGGGGCCTAGAGACTAGAGTAAGTAGAAAGTGTTCATCTGGATATTGGTTTTCATGACAGAAACCAAATTTGAACTAACTTCAACAAAAAAGGATTTTTCTTTGATTCAAACTCATCCTTAGGAGGGGCAAAATGGGAGCTGGGCTTAGGGCTAATGGGAAGAAGAAATACCAAACGAAGCTCTTCTCTGTCTCTCCCCTTCTTCCACTCTCCCGCCCTCTTCTCAATCTCCTCTCCCTTCCCCCTCCTCTTTCTTCTTTCTCCTTGCACACTTGCATCTGCCAAGAAGGGGTTAGAGGGAGGCTGTCCCAGGTACTCGCCTTCAGCCCCATTCAATCATAGAGTAGTTGTCAAATCATCCACGGGGTAGTAAGATCCTGACCCAGGGATTCATACAGATTATTTTCTGATCCAGGAGGAGACAGAGAGGCTATGAAAAGCATTTTAAAAATCTCATAAATAGGGACCAGCAGGTGGCATGCTGGTTAAGGTGCTGGACACTCCCACATGGCCCTCCACGGTTCAAGTCCCGGACCTGGTGACTGCTCAACAGGGCTGGACTTACTTTTTTCTTTTTTCTGTAAAGAAAAGAAAAATCTTAGCTTTGGCCTTCATCTGCTGTCTGAATTCAGTCAAAGCAATTCACATTTTCAAACCTCAGTTTCCTCATCTGTGTGATGTGAATGGGGTTTGTGTAAACCCACTAGGACATAAGCTCTGGGACAGCAGGGGTTTTGGCCTCCCCTCCTCACGTATATCCCCGGCACGATGATATGGCTAGCGTATGGCTCAGCGCATGTCAAACTGAACGAAGAATGAACTTGACCCTTGGCCCAGAACTCCTCTTAAACAGAGAGCTGTTTTGTTGACAACAGAACAGGCCAGGCGGTTGGAACGGCCCCACTACCCAGCTCTGGGGAGGGAGACGAGGAGGAGATCCAGGCAGACGCTGAGGGAGAAGCAGCCTCACACTCACAGACTCCCACTGGACACTCCCCACCAGCTCGCTGCCTCGCTCCCGCATGAGCACAGTCATGCGTCCCCAGACTCCCAAGCAGGCCCATCAGCCGAAATAACAGTCCCCTGTTGAGTGTAGAATGGATCCATTCCTGCAGTCCCCAGGGCTCCCTGGCACAATGTTGTCACAGTAAACCCCTCTCCTAGGTCTGATTTGTAGAGAAGTTTGAAGGTACCACGTCCCTACATTGTACAGTGAACCTCAGCAGAAAGTGGCAGGTAGAATAAATTACAACTCCAGGGATTGTGCACTATTTAAAAAAATACACACAGCAAGACTTCATTGGTGGGGTGAATGTGTTCTAACTCTCTCAGCCATGTTTTCATCCTCTGATCTTAACAAGATGAAATTGCAAGTTGTTTCACTCCTTGAGGGGCCACTGTAGAAACACAAAGCATAGGGCCCCCTAGTGGTGTGGTGGTGAAGGCGGCTGGATCTCGTATGGCCATCTGCATAGAGGTAGGCCTGGATCCACAGCCACTTAGAAAGCGGGTCTGAGGATCTAGACAGACAAAAGCCATGGGTGTAGTGAGATTGTGGGGGCCTAGAGACTAGAGTAAGTAGAAAGTGTTCATCTGGATATTGGTTTTCATGACAGAAACCAAATTTGAACTAACTTCAACAAAAAAGGATTTTTCTTTGATTCAAACTCATCCTTAGGAGGGGCAAAATGGGAGCTGGGCTTAGGGCTAATGGGAAGAAGAAATACCAAACGAAGCTCTTCTCTGTCTCTCCCCTTCTTCCACTCTCCCGCCCTCTTCTCAATCTCCTCTCCCTTCCCCCTCCTCTTTCTTCTTTCTCCTTGCACACTTGCATCTGCCAAGAAGGGGTTAGAGGGAGGCTGTCCCAGGTACTCGCCTTCAGCCCCATTCAATCATAGAGTAGTTGTCAAATCATCCACGGGGTAGTAAGATCCTGACCCAGGGATTCATACAGATTATTTTCTGATCCAGGAGGAGACAGAGAGGCTATGAAAAGCATTTTAAAAATCTCATAAATAGGGACCAGCAGGTGGCATGCTGGTTAAGGTGCTGGACACTCCCACATGCCACGCCACGGTTCAAGTCCCGGACCTGGTGACTTGCTTTCTCACTTTCCCTCTCTCTCTATCTTGTTGTGTCTCTCTCTAGTCAAATTAAAATAAATGAATGAATAAATAAAATTGGATAAATAATTCTTTTAAAAATAAATCTCATGATTAGAGGCTTGTTGCCGAAGCTCATCATCTTCCCCGGTGATTAGAATTCCCGTTCCTGCTCACAGCTCTCTCTGGGCAGTGGGTGGTGTGAAGTGGAAGAGAAACTGCAGGTGTGATGTCACAGAGATACAGATTAAACGGTAACCTACCCAGCACCAGCAGATGGAGGAATGGTTATACCACTGGACTCCCATGTAGTTGACTGCGGTTCTAGTCTCAGATCCAGTGGCTTAAAACTCATGCCGGATGCATGTGTGTGCATGCCCTCAATCTCGAAAGGAGAATGAAAGAGAAGGGATTGTGGTGTGGCCATTCCCCTGGGTGTTCTCACTGTCTCTTTGTCTCTCTCTGTCTCTCAGGTGAGCACACACACTCTATGGCAAAAATCTAAAAAAAATAAAAACCCACCAAAACCAGTAGCCTACCCAGTCATTGATGGTTAACTAGCAGTGTGGCTTTGGGCACATTCCTTTCTTTTCTGAGTCTCAACTTCCCCATAAAATAGAGATGATCCTCCCACTCAGCTGGGTTGTGGGGCATGAAGGCAGCAGCACCTAGATCGTAGACAGTGCTTAGTCAACGCTGGTTTCCTTTAGCTTCTCTGACAAAACCAATTCCTCTTTTTATACTACTCCCAGCTAGCCTAGTGGAGCAGTCCCCACTCATATGCAGGGCTCTAGGCTAGGGGAAAATATATTATATTTAAACTATCTGGATGAGGCCCTAATTCTTTGCTCTTCCAGCAGTTCCATAAATCTCAGTCATCCCTATCGCTCCCTGCCACCCTGGCCTGCCTCCAGATCAATTAAACATTGATGTGGCAGCTATACTTATCCTCACTTCCCTCTCCAGCCAAGTCTTGGTCATCAATTCTTTCTTTCAAATAAAAAATTTAACCCTCACATTTTTGGAGTTTCTGAAGCACTTTCAGATTCGCTCTGTTCACGTCCTCATTATAAGAAATTAAAGCAACACGGAAAAGTACAAAGAAGAAAGTAAAAAAGTCAAACGATGAAGGTCAGCCTCGCCAGGGTAAGCCATGTGGATGTCACATGCCCCCTAATATTAGCTGATGAGAACAGCACGTCACCGCCGCGGTATTCTTCCCAAATGCTGTCACCTCAGTTCAATCATGAGCAAACTTTAGACGAGCCAGAACCGAGGGACATTCTATCAAGTATCTGACCCCTACTCTTCAAACGCATCCAAGCTAGGAAAGGCAAGGCAAGACCGAGAAACTGTCATAGACTGAGCAGATGTGATGGAAAGTGGTACTCCAGTTTGGGAGCTGGAACAGGAATAGGGCATCAGTGGGAACATTGGGAAATCCAGATTAAATACAAGAGGGCCTTCTTTATGGAAAAGGCATATTATGAAAAAAGTACGTGTGAGGGGCCAGCTCGGTGAGGCAGCCGTGACCGACTGCTCAAGCGGGATTCACAGGGACGATCGTGAGTCTGGTTCCCTGGTCAACCCGGCCAACACCTGGTGCCTGTGCCCATGACCCTGGGCTGGCTCTGTAGGCCGAGGTGGGGTGAGATGAGACCCTATGGAGGGTTCTTCTCTCTCATGAATGAAATATGGGTTTTGACAATTTTCTCCATCTTTAAAACATTGCCAGAGAGCATGTGCACTCACCAGAGAGATGAAGAGGCAGAGAGAGTACAAAAGCACAGCCCTCCCCCAGTAAAGTGTAGTCATCCCACATCCCTCCTTCATTTCTCCAACCTGCTGGGATTGAGGGCATGCACGCACACATGCACACACACACACACATGTGCCCAGTGTGTTTTTCAAGCTGCTGGGGCTAGGATTCAGACTGTGCTCAGCCATGTGGGATATGGTTCCCTTACCTTCTACGCTATGAGGCTGGCTCTCGATGCCAACATTTTTTCACACCAAAATAAACCCTTACTTTAATTTCCTTTTTTCATGGACTTTTGGAAGTCTCCTTGTATGAGTGGAGTTAAGAGTATTATACTGAGCTGGCTCCGAGGCTTGTGGTTAAGGCAGCCGGATCTCACATGGCCTGTTGAGTCTCGGACCCACTGACTTGAGAATATGCTGGGTACGTGTTCACTTGTGCCCAAAATCCCAGAAAGAGGGAAGGATGGAGCAGAAGGCGTTGTAATGTGACCACTCCCACGGAGGGGGCTGCTGTCTTCCCTCTCCCCCCTTTGTTTCTCTGTTTCTCTCTGGTGAGTACACATGCCCTCTAGGAAAAATACAACCATACCAATTACTAAGTTAATTTCTTGGTTTTGATACATATACCATGATTATGTAAGATGTTAGCATTAAAAGAAGAGGGTAAAGGGAAAATGAGAACTTTCTGTCCCCTCTTTGTAAGTCTTCTATAAACCTACAATCTTTTCCAAATTAAAAGTTTAAAAAACAAAAAACAAACTTTAAGTGAGGACCATCATATGGCATAATGGGTATGTTGCTGGACTGTCAGGTACTCTATGGTGGTTCAAATCCCATACCTGGCAGCTTAAAACTCACACTGGGCACATGTGCATGAGTGCCTAAAGTCCTGAGAGGAGAATGGAAGAGAAGAGACTGCGGCCTGGCTATCCCACCTGGGGGTGATTTCTTGCTTTCTGTCTCTCTGTCTCTCCAGTAAGTGCATGTGCCCGATAGCAAAAATCTCTCTAAAAACAAAACCTTAAGTGAACTTAATTCAAATGAGATGAACATCATTTTGAATAGCTTTCAATGCACTATAAATGTAGAATAAAATAAATAAATAATTCAATAAAGTGATTTCTTATTATAATACTCTTCACAAGTCTTGAAAGGCATTTCATTTATTTTACTTGGACCTAGCAAGAGCTTTTTTTTTTTTTTTTTTAAGAATTATTTAATTTAGTTTTATTCATTGTCATTATAATTTTTTTTTAAAAGTAGACCAGAAAGAGACAAAAAGAGAAAGAAAGTGAAGGACTTGAACTGCAGTCAGTCATATGGTAGTCCAGCTGCCTTAACCACCACGCCACGTGCCGGTTCCTTAACAGAGTTTTAAATGAAGGAAAAGACGAACTTTAGATAGTTATTTCTCCACCAGAAGGGATCATAACTCCTCAAAGATCTCTCTGGAAAACCGTAAGAGTTTGCGGTTATCATTGCTCTTAACCACTGATTTCAATTTTAGACGGCAAATCCCTGCAGTGAGATACTGACTCTGTTATATTTCACTTATCTCCCTCCCCCCAAGAAAACAGCTTCCTGTTTTGTATTAGTTATGTTATTATTTTTACATTGTTGGATGAATTGTCAAAGATTGCTTTTAGCCATGAATTACAGAAAACCTGGGCAGCTAGTGACTGAAGTCACACCGTAGAGTGAGGCAGTTGTGATCACTGGTCAGCAACTCCAGGATGTCAGGGTCAGGTTCTGTGTAATTCTCCTGAGGTCTTCTTCATGATTACAAAACAGCTGCAGCAGCTCCAGCATTCATGTTCTTGTTCCACCTAGGGAAAAGGAGAAAATGACTACAGCAAGAAAAGAAAGTTTCCCACAAAATCCTGGTCTGTATCTCACTGACTCTGTGTTATATTCCATCCCTGGCTGGCTACTTTTTAATTTAAAATGGCATATTTGATAGCCCCAGTAAAATTGGTATTGTTAGTAAGAAAAAAGGGAAATATTGCCACTTCTTACAATTATTTATCCTCATTTTATATTTGAAAATATTCGATATTTACAGAAATCATATATACCAAAGCTGCTTTATATTTGAACTCTTTATTCTTATTCTTATTCTTATTCTTATTCTTATTCTTATTATTATTATTTCATTTGCCAGAGGGCACAGGCACTTGCCAGAGAGAGACAGAAAGACAGAGAGGGAGGAAGCACCCCCAAGGGGCATGGCCACACCGTAATCCCTTCTCCACTTCTGTCTTGAGCACACTTGTGCATGCACCCAGCATTATTTGGTTGTGGGGGCCGGGATGCAAATAATGCAGTTGACCATGTGGCATCTGGCTCTTTTAACCACTAGGTCATGGGGCTGGCCAGAAATTCTTTATTTTGATCCATTTTTTGGTTGCCAATTTTAGTGTCATGAGTGAGCTGAAGCTGGGATCTCTGAAAGCACTCACTAACCTGCCCCACACCTCCCTAGTCTCTCTATTGCCCTGGAATCTGGCTTTAGATGGAAAACATCAAGGGGAGCCCAAACTGGCTCCCTTACCTGGGCAGAAACTGTCCCTTTAAGAGAGAGAGGAGGCAGAGATGGCTCCCTGCAGCCACCTAAGGCCTCTGACTGACAGCCAGTGTGCTCCCATGAGGCCTGATGTCATCACCGGTGAGCAGGGTGAGCAGGCGGGCATCCAGCCCAGCTGAGCAGAGTGTGCTGTGACCAGGGGCTTGTGCTGCATCCGCCTGCTGCATTTTAAAGTCGGGGAAATTTGCCTTAAGGGTGTGTCTTCTAGTGTATCAGGATGCCTAGCCCCCACCCTCCCCAACCCCGCCAGCTTTCCCTTTCAAGCAGGGCTGGGTGCTGGGTTTCTCCCCTCCATTCTCTGTCCTTTGAACCTTGGCCTTCTGCCTATAAGACCTGACTCAGGAGGCCACCCAGGGCTGGAGACTGAACAGCTCTGTCTAGCTCTGCAGTTCCAGGGCTGGGCCACAGCCTGGCTTGCTCAGGCTCATGTACTCCCCCCAACCCCACCCCCAAATAAACTGACATTTTTTTTTCTAGTTATAAAGATAATACAACCTCACTGTTAGAGAGAGAGAGAGAGAGAAAGAGAGAGAGAAGAGAATAGTATAAAGAATAAGATAAAAATTATACTGAGTAACAATCTCTACTATTTTAATATTTTTGTTCCTTTTCTCCAGGGATTGCTCTATGCATGTATGTTTTATTTTTGTGAGATATGACTTAAATAAACTTATATAAATAAAACACACTTTTTTCTCTTTTTTTAGTTTTGCTGCAGGGCACGTGCGGTTGCTAGAGAGAGAGAGACAGACAAAGTGAGAAATCACCCATGGGGTGTGGCCACACTGCAATCCTTTGTACTCCAGTCTCCTCCCCTCTTGAGATTTTGGACACACACAAACGTGCCCAAAACCAGTGGCGCTGAGAATCTAACTGTGGTTGACTATGTGGGATCTAGCTCTTTTAACCACTATGCTACCAACACAGGAGTGCTGGGTGATCAGACCCAACACCCTTGCTGGTTCTTGTCCATTGCTCATGAAGAATTAGAGATGCTGACACAGAAAGGAGATAACAAAGTAGAGTTTATTAAGAGAGGGCATTTATTAATAGAGCTCTCAAGCAGGGAGGTGTTGTGAATGGGTTGCGGAAGAGGAGCTGGAGGCGAGGGGTTTTTATCTAGTAGTCTGAGCAATGGGTTGGCTCTCTGACAAAGAAGTGGGCTTTAGAAAATATTTACATGGTAGCCTGAGAGACTTATTATCCTATTCTTTGTGTGGACAGCAGACCATAGGATCAGTACTTTTTGTTAGAATAAAGTTACTAAATAGAAACTGTTAACCCTAGCTTCAGTTGTTTTGAGTCCCAGTGCATCCAGGCTTTGGCTGTGAAAACTTAGCCACTGTGACTCCATCTTGGCCTTATCCTGTCTTTGTGCTCAAGATCCTGGAAAGCAGTGAAAACAGTTATGGATGCTGGAGACAGCGTAGAAGGAGGGTGGGAGAAGGGAAGAGGATAGGGGAGGAAATCAGGGAGAATAAAGAGAAGCAAGACATTTGTGGGACACAGACATGGTTTATTACTTATTGATGATAATATGTGTAGTATTCTCAACTGAACTGGTTCGAGATATATTTCATGCTGGGTAAATTCTCTTTACAAGCCAAATTATGTATAGCAATAAAATGTTTAAAAAGAGAATAATAAAAATAAAATAAACAACAAATAAATAGAAGAGAGAGATCAGGGTTGGAGGCCCATAGGTGGTGTAGTGATTAGGGAGTTGTACTCCCACATGACCAACAGCGGTTCAAGTCCCGGACTTGATGGCTTCAAACTCACGCTAGGTACGTGTGTGCATATGCCCAAGATGCTAAGAGGAGAATGAAGGAAAAGGGATTTTAATGTGGCTATCCTCCTGGGGGATTATTTCTTGCTTCTTGTCTCTCTGCTGAGTGCATGTGCCCTGTAGCAAAAATCACTCTTAAAAAAAAAAAAAGAGAGAGAGAGATCAGGGTCGAGCCCTCATCCTGTCATTACCAGCCCCTTGAACTTCAGCAGCTTACAACATCTGTCTCAGGTTCCTCACCTAAAAACGGCCCTGCCAGCACCGTTGGGTTATATGTCTCGGGAAGGGCCGAGCGAGTTAAGTGTAAGTGCTTAGCAAATTGCCTGGCGCAGAGCGGACACCCCATAAATGTTAAACTGCTGTTATTCATCCTTGTGTTCACTTATAATTATTTCCTTAGGAAAAATTCCTAGAAGTAGGATTGCTGGATCAAAAAGAGTGCTTGTCTTTGGGAATTTTTAGTACAGTCTGCCAAATTGCCCTCCAGAGCAAGCTGTGCCAATTTATAGAGCTACCAGCTGTGCCCGAGTGTGCCCTCTCGCCAGTCCCTCCACCACGAGCGGCATTAGTGCAAAGAGGGGCGGAAGGGGAGAGGGGACAGGGGAGGGAAGGGAAGGGAGAGAAGGAGGAAGAAAGATTGCCAGTCAGAGGGGAGAAATACCCCTTACGGTTGATTTGCTTTCTAGTAAGGTTGAGACAGAGAGAGAGAGTGAGATGGACTCAGTGCCTCAATCCTCTAGTAAGGTTGAACTTTTCCTTTTTTCATATTGGTCGCTCCTCTTTCTACAACTGGAAATTTGCCTACTCGGAGCTGGTTTTGTTTTTGTTATTTTCCCCCAATTCTGGGCCACAGCCTGGCTTTCTCATGCTCCTGTTCTTCCCCAACTCCCACCCCCAGATGAACTTGACAGTAGTTTTTTTCTATAAAATAGGCTCACTGTAAAAAGAAAAAAAAGAAAAAGAAAAAGAAAAGGAAAATAGACTGATATAAAGAATAAAATGAAAATAGCAACAAACCACTGCTAAGATTTTCCTCTTTCTCATCTGTTGGCACATGAGCTGGTGTTTCGACTGGACGTGACCCACTTCAGAAAGTCCGTCCCATTCTGCACTGGCCACAGCTCCTGTGACAGGGCTCTGACCGTGGCTGTGCCCACGTCCCCGCTTGTGCAGACTGCCTGACTTCACGGTTCCTCTGGGGTGGACCTCTGCTTTATTCTTGCCAGGGCCTCTCACTCTCTGACGACCCTTTCCCCACACCTTACCTGCCTGAGATCTGTGTGTAGCTGCCAGAGCAACTAATAAACTGCTGTCTCCTTTTCCCTTAAATAAGCGTTTGCTGATTGGTTAGAAGAGAGGCTGGGCAGTACATGAAGGAACAACTGAGAAGGACAGTTTCTTGTGACAGTTCTTAGTGTCACCTATTGTAAGCAAGTCAGCTCTGGCCCTAAACTTGCACAACGGGCTTAATAAAGCTACAATCCTCTACTGGTCTTCCTTAGAAGCCAATGTCACATCATCTCTCCTCCCTCCATGCCAAGCGATTTTTTGTAAAAGTATTACCTTTGGGGAGGCCCTCAGGTGGCATGGTGGTTAGAAGTGCTGAACTCCCACATGGCCAGCTGCAGTTCAAGTCCTGGACCCAGTGGCTTGCTTTCTCTTTCCCCTGGTCAAATTAAACTAAGTAAAGAAATGAAATGAAATAGATTATTCTTCAAAAATAAATAAATAAATAAAATAGTATTACCTTTGGGGCCAGCAGGTGGCATAGTGGTTGGGACATTGGACTCTCACATGGCTTACTGCAGTTCGAGTCCCAGACTTGGCAGCTTGCTTTCTCACTTTCTCTCTCTTTCTCTCTGGCGAGCACAAATGCCCTATAGCAAACTAAATAAAAATAATAAGGACCAACAGGTGACGTAATGTACAACACTGTGCTCCCACGTAGTCAACTATGGTTAGAGTCCTGATCTGGTGGCTTAAAACTCACACCAGGTACATATGCGTGTGTGCCCCAAATCTGAGAGGACAATGGAGGAGAAGAGATTACTGTGCGGCCATCCCCCTGGGGGAGGTGATTTCTGATTTCTTGTTTTCTGTCTCTCTGTTGAGTGCGCCTACTCTATAGCAAAACATCTCTCTCAAAAGTAAATTAGTAAATACATAAATAAATTATATTAAATAATTTTAAAAATTTAAAAGTATTACCTTCAAATATTATAGTGATAACCCTGAAAAGTCAGGTCAATATGATTTTCTCTCTCATTTTATTCTGAAAGTGATTTTAGAGTCCTGGTCACTCCTTGGTGACCACCTGGTGGACCAGCACCTTATTGCTTTTGCTTGGTCTTTGCAGGGTCTGATTTTCTGGAAATTTGGGGATGATCTCTTGCCAAAGAATTGCTCCAGGAGGTAGGGTTATGAGGGGGAATGTATTGTACTGAAAACCTTGA